TTGAAGGGGAATGGGGGGAGGGGAGTGCCCCAATCTCCCACACTTCGCTCTTGCTCAAGCTGTACCCTCCCCCTGGAATGCCTTCCTTTCTTCGTTCCATGCCCACCCATCCTTTAAAACCCAGCTCAAATGCCCCCTCCTCCAGGAAGCCTTCCTTGATAATGACCTTCCCCTTCCAATCTCACATAACCCTTTGCTTTGTGACTTTTATCGTATGTTATAGCTCTTTGTTACACATATCATGTGTGATATGGCCCATGATAGCCGTGGTATTGCTGGTGTCATCCCCTGTTAGTAAGCTCTTGGTCTCTCATCTAAACTCTGGGATCTCCTCCCTTGCCTAGCACAAGACTCTGCATACAGTAGTTGCTCAATAAATGCTAGTTGATGTCTGTGAGTATATGTGTGTATTGGAGCAGGATGGTAGCTGGACTTAGAAGTTGTTTTTGTTTTCCTGACCCCATTTGGGGTTTTCTTGGCAGAGATACTGGAGTGGTTTGCCATTTCCTTCTCCAGCTCAATTTTACAGATGAGGAAACTGAGGCAAACAGGGTTAAGTGACTTGCTCAGGGTCACACAGCCAGTAAACGTCTGAGGCCAGATTTGAACTCAGATCTTCCTGACTCCAAGACTGGCGCTCTACCTGCTGCACCACCCAGCTGCCCTTTGGAAATGGAAGACCTAAATTCAAGTGCTGGCTGGTTCTGTCACTTACTGGTGGCATGAATTGAGGCAAATCACCTCCCCTTCTGGACCTCAGTGCCCTCATCTATTAGTCAGTCAACCAGCCTTTGTTAAGCACTCACTATTACATGAATGGGTTGAATCAGAGAAGCTGAGCACTTCTTCACCTTCTTTTGTGTCCTGGACCCGTTTGGCAGCAGTCTGGGGAAACCTGTGGTCCCCACCTCAGGGTCATATTTGTAAGTAATTGGAGCAAATGCTCCGTTTCTGTTAGAGGTTAGTGAAAATTAAAAATGTAGTTTTTTTCCCATTCAAGTTCATGGACCCCAGGTTAAGAACCCCTGGACCAGATGATTTCCAAGGTCCTTTTTGTCTCTAACATTCTGTGGTTGGGGGAGGGGGGCATTTTCTGGAGTTGAGTGCTCTTGCACCTACACAATCTGACTTTACTCGCTTCCATTTACACAATACTTTACAGTTTTGTAAGCTTTTTCATGGACATCTTAATTTACCTTGATTTCTGAATGTATCCTTCCCTACCCCACACCCAGCAACCCACTCTTTGTAACAAAGATTTTTATTTATTTATTTTTTTGGCAACAAAGATTTTTTTTAAGAGAAAGAAAAAAAGTAGATTAACAAAACGAGTCAACACGTAAGTCACGTCTGAAAGTGTACGCAATATTCCACATCCACAATTCCCTACCTCCGCCATTGGGACGGAGTTGATATAATGTATAGAGTGAGTGGTATTTGTAGCAGCTCTTTTTAGAGGAGCCACAAACTGGAGAGTAATGGGGTGCTCACCTTTTGGGGCATGGCTAACCAGACTGTGGTGTGTGAATGTAATGGAATACGAGTGCTCCACAAGGAATGATGAACTAGACGGTCTCAGAGGAATGAAGGGAACATCGTATACTTGGAAAGACTTGAGCACTCTGATCAACCAAGGTTTCAGAGGATCAAATAGGAATCCTGCTATTTACAAAGCCACGAACCTGTTCCTTTGAGGAAAAGGTAGAATGAACCTTTGCTTCTTCAGTGAATGTCACAGTCCCAGGTGCCCCCAAGAAAAGTAGGATTCTGACCCTTAGGCTTTTTTTTTCAGAATATAAGACTCACCCACCTCTTCCCCCACTCCCCTTCCATTTCTGTTCAAGTGGGATGGAGAAGCACCTTTCTGCCTGGGGGAGGCAGGGGAGGTGTAGTGGATGACCTCTGCAGGAATCAGCCCTGGGTGGGGGACGCTGACCAGCCCAGGCCTGGATCTTGCAGGCTTCTGATAAGCAGAGGGTCCGTGACACCCTCCCTGATAGCAGACTGGTTGTTTATCAGGGTCCTGGCCTGGCCAGTCAGCCCCACCCCCAGGCTAGCCTCCAGCCTCCTGGACCTAGCAAGTCTCTCTGAGCTCTCTTGGGACTTGGGTGTGGGCGTCCACAGTCTCACCCTTCCCCAGACTCTTGTCCTGTCCAGTTACCAATATGGCTCTAGATTTTAGTTGGGTTCTAGGCTTGAGAAGACCCCAGGGAGCAGACAACGGCCTAGGCAGACAGGGGGTTGAGGTTTTGGTTTGGATGTCAACGAGAAGCTAGGGGCACCTGCACCCAGGCAGGGGGTTGAGGTAGGCAGCACTAAGAAAGAGAACCAAGCATGGAAGGAATGAATCGATCAATCAATAAACACCTACTAAGCTCCTACTATGTGCCAGGCACTGTGCTAATCACTTGTGAATGAGATGGAAGTTTGCCTGAGGGACTTGATGCCTAAACGTGCCCCTACACAGGTCAGGATAGCAGTGAGGAGAAGGGCATTTGACCAATCCTCCATGGGCAGAGGAAGTTACCTGGGCCCTGGAGATCTCAAAACCTCTGGGCCTCAGTTTCTCTAGAATGGAGGAGGGGTTGGCCTAGAGAACCTCGCAGGTGTCAGCCTTTCAGCTCTGAGTCTAAGATCCTGTGCTTTCTCTACCGCAAGGCAGGGTTCTAGAGAACCCTGGCCAATCCAGAGGATAATGTCCCCCAGCACCCACTATAGGAAGACAGGCCTTTCCAGCTCACAGAGATGTGATGCCCTCTGTCACATTACCTCCAGAGGTGCCTTCCACCAGGCAGCCGAGGGCATCGCTGCCTTTGGAAACTCTCAGGCACAACCCACAATAGACCAGCGGGATGGGGAGAAGGGGTGTGCTGCTCCGTGGTGCCCAGCATCACTCCAGGCTGGCTGCTGGGGGAGACAGGACAGTGATCAGGAGATTCCCAAGTGCTAAAGAACATGTAAGGGTCTAAGGGCCAGAGGGTTAATGCACTTACCACTGACACAGATATAGTACTTTAAAGTTTGCAAACCTCTTTACTTACATAGATCATCTCCCCTGAGCCTCAGAGCTGGCCAAGGTAGGTAGGTAGGGTCTGCAGGCATCATCCCTCCCCAGCTCCCCTATTTCTTCAAGGCCAGCAGCATCCTTCCCCACTGCCAGGCCAGCCCCCACATCCAAACGGCCGGCAGGTCTCATGGACTCTTCCTCTACTCTCTCACACCTCTCTTGATCACTAGCAGCCCAGTACAGACTTCACCTGAGCCCTAACCTATAACAATAGCCCCTAATTGATTTCTCTGACTACAGGATCTCCCCTCTCCAATACATGCTCAGCTCAGACACAAAATTGAAAGTCACACAGGTCTCACCATGTCACTCTGATCAAGAAGCTTCTACTTTTTTTGGGGGGGGGGAAGGCAATTGGGGTTAAGTGACTTGCCCCAAGTCACACAGCTAGTAGTCATCTGAGGTCCAGATTTGATTTTTTTTTTTAACTTTTAGGCAATTGGAGTTAAGTGACTTGCCCAGGGTGACACAGCTAGTAAGTGTCAGAAGTGTTTGGTCTGAGGCCGGATTTGAACTCAGGCCCTCCTGACTCCAGGGCTGGTGCTCTATCCACTGTGTCACCTAGCTGCCCCCAGCTTCCAGAGTTTTCCTTTACCTCTGGGATAAAACACAAATTCCTCAGCAATTTCCAAAGGCCTTCACCATTTGCCTATCTTTCTAGATTCACTTTACATTATTGCACTCTTGATCCAGCCAAACTGGATTATTTGCTGTTCTCTTTATAAGATATTTCTAGGTAGTACAGTGGATAGAGTAGTAGATCTGGAGTCAGGGAGATCTGAGTTCAAATCCAGCCTCAAGACTAGATATGTGACCCTGAGCAAGTCACTGCTTGCCTCACTTTCCTCTTGTATAAAATGGGGATAATTTTAGCACCTACCTCTTAGGGGTGTTGTGAGGATCAAATGAAATAACACTGGTAGTGTTTTGTAAACCTTAAAGCACTGTGCTAGTGCTTGCTATTATCATTTCACCTCTACACCTTTACTCAAGCTGTGCCCCATGCCTGGGATGCCCTCCCTGTTGGAAACCTTAACTCCCTTCAAGGCTCAGCACAAATGTCATCTCCACAAGACCCTCCCTTATCCTCCCAGGTTAGTCCCCATCCCCCACCAAAAATGCTTTGTACATACTTTTTATTTACTTCTTTGTGTACATGTTGTGCCCCTCTCACACACGCTGGCATGGAAGCTCCTGGACAACAGGGAATATCTGTTTTTGTCATTGTATCCCCAGGGCCTAGCACATGGGGTTGTTGTTCAGTCGGGTTCAACTCTTTGTGAGTCCATTTGGGGTTTTCTTGGTAGAGATACTGGAGTGGCTTGCCATTGCCTTCCCCAACTCATTTGACAAATGAGGAAACTGAGGCCAACAGGGTGAAGTGACTTGCTCGGGTTCACACAGCTAAGTGTCTGAGGCAGGATTTGAACTCAGGTCCTCCTGACTCCAGGCCCAGCATTCTATCCACAAAGTCATCCAGCAGCCCCTACAATGTTACATACGTGCAATATGTTAAGTTGGTTGAATTGAACCAAATCCCCTCTTTAAAGAGGAGAGAACTGAGGTTGCGGTGGCCACCTGTGGTCGGGCTAATGAATGTCAGTGGAAGGAGGGGAAGGCAAGTTCTCCTGGCTCCACATTGAGCCCTCTGCCATGCAGAGGAGAGGGCCTGGGACATGAACAGAGGCTGCAGACTCACACTCCACGGCTGTGCCAGGGACCCTCCCTGAGGGGTGACAATGGCAGGTGGAGGCCAGGGGGCAGCCTCCAGGCCAGACTGGGCATCTGCTCAACAAAGAATCCCTCCAGAAAGGGTTAAGGGGTGGAGCTCGACCAAGCCAGCCCTCCCCACCCTCCTCAGGCAGAGGACCCCACCCAAGAGGAGGAGCCAGTGGGGTTATAATGAGGTCGGCCCAGTGGCCAGGTGGAGACAGGGGGCACCGGCTCCCAGAAGGCCGCCCACAGCTCTTGATGCCAGGTAAGTGCCCAAGAGGCCCAGCCGTCTTCTCTCCTTTATCCTGCTCCGACCCTCTCTCTCTTTCCAAGTTTCCTAACCTCCTCGGTCTGTCCTGGCTTGCTTGGCAAGCTATCCGTCCTCCCCTCCTGTCCTAGTCACAGGGGCTGAGAACCTGCGGCCTCGAGGCTACATGTGGCCCTCTTGGTCCTCAAGTGTGGCCTTTTGAGGGGATCCAAACTTCACAGAATATTTGTTAAAATTCAGTCAAAAGATCGAACTTGAGGACCTAGAGGGCATGTGGCCTCGAGGCTCAGGTCCCCCACCCCTGTAGGACCTAGGACCCTAAGCCTGAGCTTTTCACCAAGGCTTCCTCTCCTCCACCGTGAATTATATCCTACTTCCCAATGGACTGGAGCTTGCTTAGAAACTGCTGCCTCTCTGGGGCGGAACCGAGGGTGGGGAGATAAGGGAGGTTTGTAGTAGGAAAGGGCCCCTTGCCTCTGTTCCTGCCCCGTGCTGCTCCTTACGAAGTTCCTTTCTGTCTCGCTTCTCTAGATGCTCCCTCAGGTGGAGGACGTTGCTGTGCCCATATGGGGCCCTGGCCAGGATATCATCGTATACTGTAAGTTTGCAATGAGACACTACAGTATAGATGATGTACTGGTATGGGCCGCCCTTCAGCTCTGGAACCCAGGAGTGCAGCAGGAGAGCCAGAGAGCTCTGAGAAGAATTGGGCCAGGCCCCAAGATGGCACACCAGGAGCGTGGGGAGGAAACCGTTACCATTACTGTGCTTAGTAATGGTAACGGTTCTCTTGCTGCACTCGGTGACCGTGCCCACAAGCAGAGAGGTGGAGGAGCCTGGCACTGGACAAGGCGGGGGGAGAGAATCTCATCTCTACTGACATTTTGTAGAAATAAAAGTGGGAACCAAAACTCTTTCTTCTGTCATTTTATTATCACCAATGAACCAGAGAAGGGGTTACAGAGGGAGGATGATATGTGGATGAGAAGCGGGTGGACATAACTCATCTCCAGGGCATCCAGGGCCTGGCTGGGGCTGTACACAGGGCACCTGCTTGGCGCTGGCTGTGGAGGGCTGGTTAACCAAGGTGCAGAGGCTTGGGACAAAGGAAGAACTGAACCCCTGGCTCTGGGAAAGGAACAGGAGCTGCCTGGAGCCCTCGGCGCCAGCAAGAGGACTCCCGAGAGGGTAGGTCTCGGAGCAGCTCCAGGCAGAGGCAGCTCTTGCTTCACTTGCCTGGCCGTCCAGTCCTCTCAGGGCTGGGCCTGGGGATCATTACACCCAATGATAAACCAGGTCCATGTGCCTGGCCAGCCTAGGGGTCTTGGGGTGGGGGCACGGTCACCTTCGGAGCTTGACCGAGAGGCGGAGCTGCACATCACAGAGGAATACGTTTCTGAGGTCCTGAGTGACTTCGTGTGCCAACTGGCTGATCAGCTGCCCGCTCTGTCCAATCAATATCCTCTGGGCAGGACAGAAAACAAGGGCTTGTTAGGGGTGGGAGGGACAAGGAGGGGAAAGGTAAATGGGAGAGGGGCTCGAGCTTTTAGGGTTACTACAAGGAAGAGGGGGAAATGCCATCCAGCCCTTGCCCAACTCCCCATCCCATTCCTCCCCGCCCCAACGTACCAAGTGGGACTCCTTAGACACGAGCAAGTCCTGCAGGATCACAAGCTCCCCACCGGGACCCTCTTCCCACAGCTTGGTCACCTGCCAAGAAAAGCCACTTCAAACCCCAAGCCCACAGGGCCTCCCCCTCCTCCTCCCCGCAGCCAAGCCCTGTACCTGCTGCACAGTGTAAGGCACCTCCTGAGGCAGGTGCTCCAACAGCTTCTCCCGAATTATGTTGGCACAAATCTCCTGAGGTGTCTGGCTGGTGAGCACTTCACTGTGGAACTCCCAGGGCCCGGGTCGGGCCTGTGCCAGAAGATATTGCTGTGGGTGCCACAAAACACATGGTTGGCCTCAGGGCCTCCCCTTCCATGTGCCCCTTGTTCCCAAGACAGCCCGAAACTTCCATTTCCTACTCAAAGGCCATGCCCAAGGCAGAAGACTTCAGGGGGCTGCATCTAGGTCTCTGAAAAGACAGCCCTACCTGGGGGTGGGGAGCAGGGACAGACTGACCTTCAGGGTCTCCACATCTTCCTGACTTAGGGCGGACAGCATGAAGATCTCCTGGAAGTGGGGCCAGCCTACCCTCTCCTTGAGGCCTTTTGAGGCCTCTGAGTCTGACTCTGCTGGGGCTTTCTGGGTCTTAGAAACTGGAAATGTCTGCTTCACTCGCAACTCTTTGCCACCAACTACACCTTCTGTGAGGGCTGCTGTCAAGTCCAAAAGGACAAACTTCTGTTTCAAGCAATCCACCTGGGGGGAAGGCAAGGAGTCAGTACACCCTCACGCCCCAAAGGAAGCAGCAGGGCTGGTGGTTCTTCCTTGGCATTCGGCTCACCTTATTCATCACCAGGATGCTGGGCACTTGGGGGAACTGAGACAAGCACTTGAGAACCTGCTGGTTAAGCTGGCCTCGGGTCCACTTGTCTGAGACGTCCACTAGAACCACAACTGAAAGGAAAACCAGCAAGTCTTACAGCCTCGATTCTGTAAACCTCTCCCATCCCTCCCCACCAAAGCGGACAGATCACTGAATAGGGACGGCCCCTGTCCCAATTCTCCCTGTGCTCAGCAGGTTATGATCCCTTGGGAATTTAGCAAATACAGAATTCCTCATGCCCTCCTGCTAACCCCCTCCCTCCCTCCCAGCCTTGCTCAGGATAGGAGGGGCCCTACCCAAGTCTGCGTCCTCCATGCTTCTCCAGGGATCCTTCAGCAGGGACTGCTCTAGATTATGCCTAGAGAACAGAAGCAAGACATTGAAAGAATTCAGCCCAGTATCCCAGGTGCTCCTGGGACAAAGTGGAGGGAAGCAGGAAGCTTCTGGTTTCCTCAGGCAGCAAAGCGGCACTGAGGATATAGTGACTGACTTGGAGTCAGGAAGACTGAGTCTCAGGCACTTACTAGCTATGTGACCTGTGGGAAGTTTCCCTATCTGTAAAACAGGTCACAGCACTTACCTCATAGGGTTGTTGGGACGCTCAAATGAGCTAACACATGTAAAGAGATCGGCAAACCTTAAAGTGCTCTAGACATGCTGCTACTTTATTATCATTCCCCATCAAAGCAGGCCGGTCTCTTCAGTATTATTACCTCTTTCGCTTCGCAGAGCTGATAAGGCCAGGCGTGTCCAGAAGAACCTGGAGGTGAGGAAGACAGAGTCTGAGAAGAAAGCAAGGACGGGTGAGTGTGGGGTGGGCCCTGGGGGAGGCCGAGGCAGCCTGGCTCTCGCAGCCTGGCTCTCGCAGCCTGGCTCTCACAGCCACTGAAGGGCCTGCATCACTGGTCTGGACACATGCTCTATCTTCCCAGATAAAGCTCCCTGAGGGCCGGGGCTGCTTTTCATGCTTATCTTTGCACCCTCATTGCCTAGCATGCTGCCTGGCATGTCGTACATATTTCCTACACCGTTGGGATGAACTGAGTTCTGAAGGATGCCCTCTTTATCCAGACAGCCCTCTCCCCACCCTCTTCCTCAGGGACTGAAGGAGAGGTCTCAAGCTGAGACCTCAGAGCTCGTGACTCCTATAAGGAGGGAGTGAGACAAAGAATTTCTCCCAGGTTGAAAGGAAGCTATTCGGCAGGTGCAGAGAGAGGCACAGACAGGGAGCCCTTGTAGAAGGGTGGCCTGATGATGGCTGGATTAAAGCTCTGGATTTGCTCAGGAAAGGATCAGATCACAGGGGGGCTAGTGGTCTTAGCTTCACCACTCCACAATAGGCATCACCAAGTTAAAGCTCCCAGCATTTTGCCTCGCCTCACCTCACCTCACCACACCTTACAGACACTTACCACCTGTGTCTCCTCCTCTGTGATGACCCCCAGGGCCTTGCATCGCGTGGTATGTACCTTCTTGGAGACAGGGAAAACCTGGCAGGATCAAAGTCAAGAGTAAGGGCTCAGAGCGATGAGACAGGGGTAACACAGCAGGGAACTGCCGGTGTATCATACTTTGCGGCCTAGCAGCTGGTTGGAGAGCGTTGACTTCCCGGCATTTGGGGCTCCCAGGATGACGACCCGCAGGATCCGGGAGTTCTCTGGCATGTCGGGGGGATGGGCCACAAGAAGAGCCTGTTTGTCTGGGAGGAGGCACAAAAGACAGTACGGTCACGTGACACAGTGACCCAGTCCCTTCTGCACTAACTCCCAGAATAAAGCTTCTCCAAAAAGAACACCCCCGCAGGCAGGAAACGAAACCAGAAAGCAGGTCTGGCAAAGAGAAGCCTGGGACCCTAGTGCAGCTCAGCCCACGACTCACCCAGCTTTGAGTGGGAATGAGGGGGCCACTCACCTCCCCTTCTCTGGGACTATTTCCCCACCTGTACAATGGGAATGGGGATTGTAAACTGTGCCCAGGTGCTCTATGAATGCAAGGGATTCTTACCATAACCACAACCTCAATAAACACCAAGAATCATTAGGAGACCTGGGTTCACATCCTAACTCTGAAGGTCAGTCTCCATACAACGCGTGGCAAGTCACTTTACCAAACCAAAGGACACCAAGCCCCCTCCAGCTGTTTTTCACAGCCCACCTTCCAGGTTTCTCTCTGCAGGCCGTCTCTCACTATCTTTCATACCTGGAATGTATTTGGGCCTCAACTCTGCCTTTCAAAATCCTTTTCGACCTTCAAAGCCGCTCAGGGGCCCACCATTCTGAGGAGCTTTCCCCTAATTCCTCCAGCTACACTGATGATCACTCCTTCCTCAAATCTTCTAGAGCGTTCTGGATTCTGCTTTGCCCCATCATTCTCTACCTTGCACAGCTCCTAGGCCCCATGCCAGAGATTCCTTACCTTTCTTATTTCAGGAAGAAATATTATATTCCCCAATGGCGGTCTGGGGAGGCTTATGGCCCCTTCTCAGAATAACGTTTTTAGAGACATATAATAAACAGAATTACAAAGGAAACCGATAACATAGGCAGCTGGTTGGTGCAGGGGATAGAATGCAGGACCTGCAATCAGGAAGACCTGAATTCAAATCCAGCCTCAGTCCCTCACTTACTAACTGGGTGAGTTACTGAAACTCTGTTTCAGTTTCTACCTCTCTAAAATGAAGATAATAATAGCACCTAACTGCAGGGGTTGTTGTGAAGATCAAATGAGGTATCTGTAAAGTGCTTTTTTTATATAGATGCTGGCTGTTCATAATAACAATAATTATTATTATGATTGAAATAAAGCTGAATTTTTTTCTCATCCAAGGTAACAGACCCCTTGGAATCTTAATTCCGGGACAAAATCCTTTATCCTCAGTGGTCTTTACACTCCCAAAGACAAGGGCTGTCTTTTAAATAAAATTTCTGCGACTCTGTCTAGGGACTTAGCAAATGTTTGCCTCAGTTTCCCTCCTGGGTAAAACGGGGATAAGCCCTCACCCTCCCCACCCGGCAAACTTAAGCCCCAGGGCGCTTGACCCTGTCCCAGGATCACTTACCCCGGTGCCGGGCCACAGCTGGGGCCCGATGGGCAGGGTCGTAGCCTGGCTGGGCGACCCCCAGGAAGTGGTCCAAGGCTGAGCCCCGTCCATGGCAGCAGCGAGCGGGAGTGGCCGCGCAGGAACCTCTAACCACAGCTGCCACACAGGCGAGAAGAAGCCTCAGCCCACGGGTGGGCAGGGGGCTTCAGGGGGAGGAGAAGGCACGGAGGGGGCGGGGCCAGACTGAAGGCGGGGCTTGGGCACCATGACTCAGCGGGCGGGGGCAGGGCCAGGGCCAAACACGGGGGCGGGGCCTGAGCGGCACGGAAGTACGGGGGCGGGGCACGGGAAAGCACGGGAGCTGAGATTCTGCCCCCGCGGCTGCCAGAAGCCCCGCGCTTTTCTCTACTCGTGACCTACTCAGAAGCCTCACCCTCACCCCCTACGGCTCCTCACCGGCGCTTCCTCGGCTCGCCCGCCAGATGCCAAGTGCCGCCCGCACCCACCTAGCGGCGGTCCGGCTGGGGGCCGCCATCTTTGCTCGCAGGGTGCGCCGGAAGTGGCCGAAAGCAGCCGGAGTGAGAGAGCGGCCCCCATAGGCCGGGCCGCAGAGGAGTCTGGGATACTGGAGGACTCCTAGCTTGGCCCTAGACGAAAACCACCCTCTGGGTCGAGTGAAGAGAGCCAGCCCCTCCCCCCGCCTCTCGATCTCCGCCGTCCCCACCCCAAAGACTTATTTTGGGCCTTTTTCCTAAAGGCTACAGCTGCCGCGAGGCGTGGCTGCGGACTCTCTCTATGAAGGACCGAGAGGAAGGACGGGCAGAGGCCCTTCCCCCATCATTATGAGGTCACTCTAGGTCCACCTGGGGGTCAAGTCCCAAGCTCTCTCTGCCGGTGGCCAGCTCTACCTAGACCACGTGGACCAAACCAATTGCTTCTCCCTCCATTGACTTGTACCCAAACACTCCGCGTCACGTGTTTCCCTTCTGGTTCAAGGACAGCCTCAAGTGACTATGCCTCCCTCCCTCCCCGCCCATCCTGTTTCTTTAGAGTATGGCACGTCCATCCAATGGGTCTTAGTGCACCGAGTCTCAGTGATACCTCCGAGGTCAAATTTGTCTCTCTTCATTAGGCCCTTTTCTTTTTCTTGTTGGCTAAAATTTGGTCGTTTGTGTATATGCATTTAAGAGTCTATGTATATAATGCATTAAATGCATGCATTTAAGGTGGGTGACCCTGGGTAAGTCACTTAACCTGGTTTGCCTCAGTTTCCTCATCTGTAAAAGGAGCTGGAGAAGGATATGGCAAACAGCTCCACTACCTCTGCCAAGAAAACCCCAAATGGGGTCACAAAGAGTTAGATAAAATTGAAACAACATGCATTAGTGTATATGCACAGGTTTTATCACTATTGGCTCCTTTCTTGGATTTTGTCTTTTTCCAAGTATCTCATCCATTTTTCCTTTATTTGTTTAGGCAATTGGGGTTAAGTGACTTGCCCAGGGTCACACAGCTAGTAAGTATCAAGTGTTTGGTCTGAAGTTGGATTTGAACCCAGGTCCTCCCGACTTCAGGGCCGGTGCTCTATCCACTGTGCCACCTAGCTGCCCCACCATTTTTCCTTTAGTACAGTGATTCTCAATGGTATCCAGCTTGGCCTATAGACAAGGCCAATTTTTTCCTTCTTTGTTCTTTTTAGTATAAAGCCCTTCTGATTAGACTTGCAAGAAACGAGGCAAATACTTTCTTACCAACCTTTGTTAGATGTATTCCCTTTATGTCATCACTGTAAATTAAGCTGTGGTCCAGAAGTCATTCTCACACACAAACTTCTTAACCAGCTGTTCATTTCCCAAACTGATTTTTCTCTTCTTCCTTTGTGAGGGAAACATCATCTGTGCCCCTATGATCTTCAGTTTCTTTTTCAGGATTTTATAATCATTTGCAAAACAATCAAAGTACATTCTGGCACTATCATTCACGCTCATTTGAATCACCAGAAGCAGAGAATTGTGATCTGTTTTGATGAATCATAGATTTGAAGCTTGAAGGGGGCATAGCTGCAGCCACGGGTCACAAAGCTAGTAAATACAGGAGGAAGAATATAAACCCATATCCTCCTGATTCTGGACCAATACTCCTGTTGCTACACTATACTGCTTCTTAAGAATTAGAGAGTTGTCTCAAGCACAAAGAACTTAAACTACTTGCGTAGGGTACCAGTCAGTATATGGGGGTTGGGGGTGAGGGATGACACTTGAATCCAGGTTTTCCTGGTTCCTAGAGAGGCTCTCTTTCCACTCTGCCACATAGCTTCTCATTAAGTCTTGGGAGGTTTTCTGTGATGTCCTGGAAACATACCCTGTGCAGACAACAGAGTTCCCTGTTGTGACCAGGTGGACGAGTATTTGTCACAGCTCCCCTAAGCATGGAATTACCAAATACTGCTACTTATCTACCTCCCATCTTTAGTTTCTGGGTTCCTATTATGGCAAGTCATGGCATCATCTTCCTGATGTCATGGTCCTCTTCTAGAATGAAGGATAGACAATAATCCTATCAGGCGCTAGGTGGTGCAGTGCCTAGAGTGCTGGGCCTGGAGCCTGGAAGACCTGAGTTCAAATGTGACCTCAGACACTTAGTAGCTGTGGGACCCTGGGCAAGTCACTTACCCTCTGCCTCAGTTTCCTCATCTGTAAACTGGGGATAATAAATAGCACCTACCTCCCAGGGTTGTTGTAAAGACCAGATGAGATAATATCTGGAAATGCTACCAATTATTATTACCAGGTCATCATTTGTCGGACAAGCAGCTTCTTTCACCTCAGAGAAGGTAGCTCTCTCCTTCTATAGGAAGAGGCTCAAATCTGTTTTTAAGCTCTAATTGTACAGCTGTCCTTTTCCTTCCCCTTCTCCTCTATGTAGCACTCCTCTAATCTTCAGCATAATGACAGGGTTCAGGTTTCTCCACCTCAGATACCTGTTTGATTCCAATGAAGCCTTGCATCTGTTTCCTAACAATCTGGAGTGTGGAGTCTCTTCATTTTCTCCTCTAGGTTGGAAGAGATCATCCTACGCTTCAGTTATGATAGTATTTACTAGGCTGGGTCAGAAATACAAGTCATTGCCCAATTTTCCTTCGTTATGGATCTCTCTCCCAGAGTTAGGCCGCAACCTTGTCCTTTTTTGTTCCAAAGGGAAACATTGCTTGTTTTTTTCCTCTACCACCATCAGCTTGAGGCCCCACTGTTCTCTTCACTTGCCATTAGGGAGCCAGGTACTAGACCCCCAGTTTCATTTAACATTGATTGACTTCTACAAAGAGATGTTTACTTCTAAGATATAGTAAGAACAGTTCCCCATACTTGGAGGACGTACTCTCTTCCACACCACCACCACTACAGTCTCTGGGATAGTAGGCTCAAACTTAGCATTGGTCTCACCAAGTTCATGTCCATAGGTGGCATGAGTGCCAGGTAAGTCCATCTATCTATTGGCTAGTATCCTCAAACTCACTCCTTGCTCTTTGATGCTACACTGGCTACCAAATAGCCTGCATTCAGATCTCCAGAATCCTGTGGCTTGTACTGTCAAGCAAGGTTCACCTAGAATGGAAAAAGAAGGAAAAAAAGCACATATTAGCTACCTGCTATGTGCCAGGTACTGTGCTAAGCACTTTACAGATATTAAGAATAAAAAGGCCAAGGATCAAGGCCTGTTTCTTAGGAGCCATATGACCTTGGCGGGGGGATGTCCTCCATAGGGAGGGGTTCTATCAGAGAGTTAGAACAATAAGGCATTTCTTAAGTACTAACTATTGCCAGGTAAAAAAGGAAATGGCAAACCAGTGTCTTTGCCAAGAAAACCCCACCAATGGCATTGGTGTGCTATGGCTCACTGGGTCATGAAGAGTAGAACTGGGTTGAACAAGATGTCCTGCATTTAAGCCATGAGGATGCAAGTGTAAAGGAAACTAAATAATAAAGTCCTTATCCTCAAGGAGCTTACATTCTAATAGACTGTGAGTTCTTTGGGAGCAGAGCCTCTGTCTTTTGCCTTTCTTTGTACGTCCAGAGATTAGCACATAGATGGCCCTTGTAAAATGTTTATTGTCTGAATGACTGACTCTTTCTACCTCATATTATCTCATTTGGCAATCTCCTCTGCTACCCTAGCTTCAATTATCGTCTTTATAAAGATGATTCCCAGATCTAGATATCTAACACAGAGTCTCTTTCCTGAGCTACAATCATATGTCACCAACTGCCTTTTGGACGTCTTGAACTCTATGTCCCACCGACATCTCAAAGTCTGCATGTCTATAACCAAAATTCATTGATTTGCTCTTCAAACCCCTGCCTCTTCTCAACTTACATATTACTGTTTAGGGCCTCATCATTTCCCCAGTAACCCAGGCTTGAAACTTTGGCATCAGCCTTTACCTCACCGAACATATCTCTAAGAGTAGGGCTGAGCCTAGATAATTACCCCACCCCAACTTACAGTAGGTACTAAGATAGTCAACCCTAATACCTAAACCAGATGAGAACCTATTTTGATGATTTACTGGGCATAAACTAGACCTGGAAACCCTAGTTCAATCAGTCACAGGCTTTAGCTTAAGTAATAAAAGTCCTTAATTAATTTAGAACATTTGAAAGCCACAGGGATGACATTCACAATAAGTCTCTATAGATTTATCTAGGATTTGGTCATATGTTGTGGGGCTTTCATAAAACCAAGGAGTTTGTTGGAATTAGCTAGATGGTGCAATGGATAAAACCATGGACTTGGAGTCAGGAAGACCCCAATTCAAATTTGACTTCAAACACGAGCCATATGACCTTGGGTAAGTCACTTAAACTGTTTGCCTTAGTTTCCTCAACTGTAAAATGGGGATAATAATAGTAATTACCTTGAAGAGTTGTTATGAGGATCAAGTGAGATACTATTTATAAAGCACTCAGCACAGCACTTAGCACAGAGTAGGCCCTATATAAATGTTAGCAATTATTATTGTTATCAGTCAGTAAGTTTCTAGAAACTTAATGGTAAAAGCTTAATGGTAAAAGCCACTAGCTCAACCCATAAGAAAGAGCCCTTTGGAAGTGGGGAGGAGAACCCTGGACTCAGTCTCTTCTCCCTCCACACCACCTTGGCCAGAGGAGGACTTCATGAGTTTCTGTAAAGGATGGGGACTATTGTCATCCTAGCACTATCCCTGGAATAGCTAACAGCCGTGTCCAAATCAGGAACTGAGGTTAGACTAGATGTGATGAGTAAAGAAAGATTCAGGGCTCTATAGGGATAGGGTTGTCACCATCTAATTATTGTGTAAGATAGCAAACAAATGTTTATCAAAACAAAGAAAAAAAGAAAACTGTAACATTGGATCATGTAACATAGAACTAAGTGGTCCTCACTTAACAGGACTTTATAGATAGAATTAGAGTTCCCCTTTTGTGGGGAGTAGGATGACTGGTTGAGAGATTGCTCCCTGGCTCTCCTATTTTCTTTTTTTTTTTTAAATTAATT